GCACGGGCAACCCGTACGTTGGCCAGTTGTTCTTTTTGTATTGTCTTTTTACATTGTGTTTTGCACGAAACTAGCAGATTTTCAGAGTGCGTTTAGCAATGCAACAGTGCGGCAAGGATGAGTTCAAGTAAGTCATCAATTGTTCAGATTTACTTTAAAGTTTCATATTACAGTAACGCAGAATGGGCCGAGCGCTAGAATCCTGAAATTCAGCGCATCAAAAACACAGTGCGGTCAGACTGCAAGTAGATGGTCATCACTTAAACGAAATTGATAATTAAAACTCATGGGCTTGACTTAAATAAAATTTGCAATTATGTCTGCCTTGGGATGAAAGCAACGATGCCATTCTACAGCCATTCAGCGTGCAAACTGTAGCTGAAAATTAAGCGGAAAAGGATATAAATTTTACCAGCCTCGTCGGCGTCTTTGAAGTGTTGAATGTAGTAAATGCAATGTCATGGTGCACGGGTTCACAAAAGATCCTGCATCTCTCGGCAATATCTAAAAATCCTGTGGATGATTTCGACTGTCTATGGCTATTGCCTAGTCTATTATTTTTTGCTCTTCTTGATTAATTCTTAATGAATAACAAATTTTAGCCCACGTTCTTATGAACATTTATTGAAAGTAGTGGAATCGATCAGATCGCAAGTAAATCTCAAGGAGAAGCCAAAAATTGGCATCATTTGCGGTTCTGGATTAGGCAGCATTGGAGAATGTTTGGAACAGGCGCAAATACTTCCTTACAGTCAAATTCAAGGCTTTCCAGTTACTCACAGTACTTTTTTTTTCTTTAGCACTAACTTACTATACAAAGTGCTATGGTTCTTTCTGTTTGTAATATAATTTAACTTAATTTTTGGAGTACGACTTCAGCTGCGTAATTCATTCATTTTTACAAATCAAAACTATTTCATAGGAGGGCTGGTTAAGCATGGGAGATCGTTGGAGCTGTACAGATTGCGAAAATTGAATGGGTGCCTGGAAAAGCTTCAATTTTTCGAAATAAAAAAACACAGTAGTTTCAGTTCGAATTTTAAAAGCTGACTAGACAGAGTGCGAAACTGATTGCAAGTGATGTTAAGAATCGAAAATTTTAGTTGCGGGCCACAAAGGTAACTTGGTGTTTGGTTATTTGAGAGGGAAATATGTGGTGTGTATACAAGGGCGCTTTCATCCATATGAGCACTCAATGGATCTGGCACTGGTTGGTTAAGCATTTTTGTGTTTTTAAGAGCTGCACAAGAGGAGCGAAGTTAGTAACTAACGTATTATAAACTGAAATTAGGTTTAATAAAAATAGCAGGGAACTTCAAAGAGTTTGTTTGATGCTTTCAGAAAATACATAATCAAACGGGCTCCGGCTGCTTGAAAATGAGTAATATACTCAAAAAGCTATTGGAATACTTGTTTTTTTCGGTTACAGCTCTGGCTCGTTGAAATCCGAGGAGAATTCAGCT